TTAGCTCTCTGGCAGAGAAGTCTCTACCCTTCTCCCTTCAGGGGGGAGTCTTTAGAGTGGACTAATTGTTTAAACTGTAAAATTTAATTATTTCCCCCTGTAGTTCACATAGATGTCAGCACTCCAAAAAACAAAAAACTCGAAGATTGACTGTATATTACTTTGGATGCTTTATATTCACATTCTTTGTTTTGTTAAGATTTTTTAAGACTAAATAATAAATCTGAAGCAAAATCCTACTCACAAATTGAATAACTAAATCTTGTACGTTTGCTTGTTTAATTGAATCATTGACGGTAATGCGACAGCATTCAATTTTGATATGAGCACTCTGTAACGCTGGGCTCGCCATTACTGGACCATTCAAATAATAATCTGTATTGTCTAAACATCAAAAGGTGAGTCAAAAAACAGTTAAAAAGATAATAAAGTAGACCTTCGATTTTTTGCAAAAAGAGTTACAGTGCCTGAGGATTATTTCAAAATAATCGATCAAAATTTACTCATAAATCATTAATTGATCAAGTGGCAATAAAGGATCAAATCAATAACAAAAATTAAAATTCTCGGTTCAAAATGTGTAGCTAGGTTAAGCTGTCTGTTAGTTTTTGCAAAAAAAATCCTAGATTTTAAATGAAGTTACCTTCGCCATTGTAAATTTTCAGCCGTTCAAGATTTGGTAAATGATGTGCGACTTCTTCAAATAGATCTATAGTAGAGTCCCAGAGGTACAATTGTTTCATATTTTCATTGATTTCCCTTATGTTTATATCAATGTATCCAGTAGATAACATTTCGAGATTAGGGTTTTCTGGTATCGATTCGAAATCGAGGCAGGATTCCATACAGTAATGATGACCATAGATTATTCCTTTCAGCGATTCTGAGTCTCTAATTAGTTTGATAATATCTTCGATTGGTGTTTCCCCATTGCGTGTGTATAAAAGATCGGCAAACTGTTTTGATGAGATTTGTATAAAAATAAAACTTTTAGAAACGAAAGTGAATCAATATCAAATCTTTCAACTTACCCTTAAATTTGGAAGCCATTTGCTTAAAAATGTTACATCGATTGGCTCATCTGTTTGATGACAAACTGAATCAGGCAAATAATTTGGTTGATCTGAAATTAATAATTGATTTTATTAGGAAATGATAGAATGAGCATTGATCAAAATTTAAAACTTACCAATAAAATATTTAACTTTTTTAGTCCGAGCAGCAATCAAATTACGCTATTTTATACAAACTGTAATTAAAATTTTTCAAGTTAATATCAAATTAAAATAACATAAAATATCCAAATAAGGCACTTCAATAGTCAGATGATAGACAATATTCAAAGAGTATACTATTTGTTCATCACAGAATAGAGGCTTTATTCGTAAAAGCAAGATCTAGCACTCAACGAATAGTATTTTATTGAGATTTGATCGCCACATCTCTCAGATTTACACTTACCTTTGAAGCAGTTAATTAAATCTTTTAAATCTTGAATGTAATCAAAGATTTCCAGAAAACAATCATCTGGAAGCTCATTTATTAACATTGTTAAAGTAACTTTGAAATAATAACTTACATTGATTGATAGTTAATAAATCTATAATAAGTGTTAGACAAACAAAAACCTTGCATATTTTGCATTTACGAGTACAGACATCTAACGTCGAAAAAATATTAGAATGATTTTTAAAAGATTTTTTGTTACGATGTCTGTAACGATTACGGTAGCACACAAAAGAATTGAGCTCAACTTTGACTTTTA